AAAAGGCGACTAACTAAAGAAATATGGGATGGCAACATTCAGTATAAATTTACAGAAACATATCCGCCAACTTCGAAATCCTTTTTCTTGTAAATAGATATTACTTCCATTTAAATTTTTCTTTTTTCTTATTAATTGAATTAATATCTACCAAATTGTAATTTTATTTATTTTTGTTGAAAATAAATATATTTATTTACTATTTTTTTCTACTTCTTTCCGATTTATTATTATTATTATTATTATAAGAAATCCTTTTAAACATAAAATTACTTTTTCCATTTAAAAATTTAACCTAACCAGCACAGAATCAATAACTACAACTTCTAATCTTTTCGAAGCAGCTCCTCCTGCTGAAGCAAAAACAGTTAAAAGGGGAAAAAGTAATGGATCAGAACCAACTTGGACACCTATAGAGAGAAAAGTTTCTAGAGTGATGGGTGATACTGATAGCTTTGTGATAATAAAGAATATTTTTGATTTAGCTGTTTGACCACGATGTGTTGACCATGATTATTTTCAAAATCTCCATTTATTCCTAAACATTTTTATCTCTTGATTTTTTCGTCCGACGCTTAGTTTTTGCTTAAAAAAATTATACTCATTTTATTTCAGGGTCGAATTGCTGAAAATATGTGGCGACAGTCGTTTGAAAATCATCTCTGCATCGGCTGGAAGGAAATTAAGAAATAAAACAATTTTTTTGTTTGTCAAAATAAGAATTTTGGTGCATGGTATCCGCCAAATAATGAAGCCATTTCTTACAATTTTGGATTAACCTACCTTTTTTGGCGAACAAAATTGTTTATGTATTTCTGCCAGGGCCGTCTATACGGGTTTTACATTGAATATATTTGAACAAAAAAGTGGTACATCACCGATTTCTCTTCAAATAAAAATTATTTTCAATATCTCCATTTATTTCTAAACATTTTTTATCTCTTGATTTTTTCGTCCGACGCTTAGTTTTTGCTTAAAAAAATTATACTCAGTTTATTTCAGGGTCGAATTGCTGAAAATATGTGGTGACTGTCGTTTGGAAATCATTTCTGCATCGGCTAGAAGGAAATTAAGAAATAAAACAATTTTTTTGTTTGTCAAAATAAGAATTTTGGTGCATGGTATCCGCCAAATAATGAAGCCATTTCTTACAATTTTGGATTAACCTACCTTTTTTGGCGTACAAAATTGTTTATGTATTTCTGCCAGGGCCGTCCATACGGGTTTTACATTGAATATTTTTGAACAAAAAATTGGTACATCACCGATTTCTCTTCAAATAAAAATTATTTTCAATATCTCCATTTATTTCTAAACATTTTTTATCTCTTGATTTTTTTTTGTCCGACGCCTAGTTTTTGCTTAAAAAAATTATACTCAGTTTATTTCAGGGTCGAAATGCTGAAAATATGTGGTGACTGTCGTTTGGAAATCATTTCTGCATCGGCTGGAAGAAAATTAAGAAATAAAACAATTTTTTTGTTTGTCAAAATAAGAATTTTGGTGCATGGTATCCGCCAAATAATGAAGCCATTTCTTACAATTTTGGATTAACCTACCTTTTTTGGCGTACAAAATTGTTTATGTATTACTGCCAGAGCCGTCCATACGGGTTTTACATTGAATATTTTTGAACAAAAAATTGGTACATCAATGATTTCTCTTCAAATAAAAATTATTTTCAAAATCTCCATTCATTTCTAAACATTTTTTATCTCTTGATTTTTTTTTTGTCCGACGACTAGTTTTTGCTTAAACAAATTATACTCAGTTTATTTCAGGGTCGAATTGCTGAAAATATGTGGTGACTGTTGTTTGGAAATCATTTCTGCATCGGCTGGAAGAAAATTAAGAAATAAAACAATTTTTTTGTTTGTCAGAATAAGCATTTTGGTGCATGGTATCCGCCAAATCATGAAGCCATTTCTTACAATTTTGAATTAACCTACCTTTTTTGGTGTACAAAATTGTTTATGTGTTTCAGTCAGTGCCGTCCATTCGGGTTTTACATTGAAAAAAGGGGTGCACCACTGACTGCATTGTATCCTAAAAATTTGATTTTGATGTCAATATGGCTCTTACTAGTAGAGGGCGCCACCTACATATTTTTTAACTGGTTTGAAGAGTAATAACTTTTCGTCTGTACCTGTATAAAACTACTGAGTAAAAAAATATATATTTACGACGTTTTTTACGTGAAAAAGGTCTCTTGGTAAAAACCGCTACGAGTAATGGTTTTCGAGATATTTGGAATAGAAATTATCAATACCTGTCATCATTGACATAAATTAAACATGGTGACTAAATAGTTATTAGACTCAAATCATAAATTTGAAATGTTTTTATGCCAAATGTTCAATAGAAACTGTTTTATCATCATTTTTTGCAGAAAAATTTATGATTAATTTAAAAAAATAAAAATTTCCCAAATTTATTATTTCAGTGAAATTACTATCTACACAACGTGTTTATTTTTCGTCAATAATGACATGTATTTACTATTTCCATTCTAAATATCTTAAGAACGGTTGCTTGTAGCGATTTTTACAAAGAGATATTTTTTTACGTAAAAAATCACAGAGATGTATATTTTTTCGCTCGGTAGTTTTATACAGGTACGAAGAAAAAGTTATCACACTTTCAACGAATACGAATTAGTAAAATAAAACTTCAAATAGAATCTGTATAGATTTTATTAAATTTATTAATCGTATTGTATTTATATGAGCCCTGAACCCCGTGTAAGAAATTTATATACAAAATGCGGTAAGTTTTTCTTTCAATATACAAAAACATGCATATATCAAAAACTGATTACTGACTGGTAGCCTAACGTACTTTTTTTACAAAAAATATATTCTACAAAATATAATGTATCAAAATGTTTTACCTCCTTTATAATTACTATATCTAATTATTGTTAGCAGATATCGAAATATAATTTCAATTATTATTTGATAAAAAAGAACAGAAATATCAAAATGCCTTCTAGAAAGACCTAATGTTTCGTTAATTCGAATTTATTTAGTTTTTTTTCCTAAATTGATCATTGTTGAACAATAATAGACATCAATTACAGTCTTAAAGAATTAGACACCTTAAAAAGACGGAAATATAATGACTAATAATTATAAAAATAAAAAAGACTCGTAAATTAATTAAAAAAATCTATGTAGAGTACGATTTAACATCAAAATAAGTGCAGTATTACAGCAAGGGTAGTATAGTTTTAAACTTAACTCTTATCATTCTCCAAAAAGAAATCTTTCAAAATAAATATATTATTTTTTTACAAATAATAGCATTTGTCACCAGAATAAATAATTCCCTGTAGAAATATAGAAAGTTTACTAAGTACTAAATAATATATATACATAGACAAAGCAACATTATATTAGGGTTAGTTTTAATAAAAAATGCCTTTTAAACAGCGACACTGTGAGATCTCAACTTCGTATTATAAAAACACTATTTTTTGGAAGACAAAATATCTTAATAATTTTGATATGTAGTATTGGTATCCGCCAAATCATGAAGCTATTTCTTACAATATTGGATTAACCTCTTAGAATAAAAGAGAATGTTTAAAATATCTGTTTTAAAGCATTTTTGTTTTATTAGTTAACTGTTGTTAGTGCGTCCGCCGAGCATCGTTCAAAAAATCGTATGAGTAAGTAAAAAGAAAGTTGGACTTCGTTAGTACATCACAATTTTATAGATTCATATCAGAGATATAAATCGTCTCTTTTCACTCAAGAGATGCCGCTACGTTAATGCATTATTTTGCCAGTACAAATGACGCGAAAAGTGCGATTTTCAATGTAAGATTGTTTCTATTTAGAATCTTTAAAATTCGGTTTAGTGACATGAAGGAACTCTCTGGTAATTTTGCAACATTACTGTATAACAGTTTAATGAAAACATGGATACTTGGTTAGGTTAAGTTAGGTTATTAATATGACTTGTTATTTGTTTTTATTCTTTGTTAGATTGTTATTCATAGAATTTAAATTACCTAACGTAAAATTTTTTCTGTTGTAAAATGTTAAAGAAGCACAAAATTTATTTAGTGCACTGCTACGGAAAGGGTTATGGCCACAGCAAAAAATATGACGTTAATAAAAATTAATAACAATTATCTACCAAAAAATGAAATCGAAATGATATTACCATAGAAACACGGTTTGATTTTACTTTGAAAACGGTATGAAAATATCGAAAAGTACCAAATGGGAATAACCATTTTAGACCAAGAAAATTATTTTATGAAGAATACATTTTTTTCAAAATATCAGTAATAAAACAGTTTTTCCTTTTGTAAGGATAATCGAGGGGCACACTGTGCTTATATCTGTATATTTTTTAACTAATAATAGCTACATATTTCCATAATTTGTGCAATTTTTAGCCTTTTAAAATTCTACAAATTAATTTCATTAAAAGCTTTAAGTTTCATTATATTATAGATAGGTATATTTTCTTTGTTTTTTTACCATATTTTAACTGAATTTCAGTAATAAATATTATTATGTATTTGATCTCCAATTACTTCGAAGGTTGTATTTTCTACATCTGTATTTGAATATACAGCGTGAATCTTAAATAAGTGCAAATATTTTTAGAGGTAGTATATTTCGGCACCAGAACTCTATGAGCTTTTTTGCGAAAAAAAATGAAAATTCGGAATTTTTGAAATTTTTTTTTTATTTTTACTTAAAAAACATAATTTCTTGATAATGTAGCAACATAGGTAGTAAATTAATTTTACGAGAAAGAAAACCCAGAAAAGATTCTGTGGTTTTTCAAACATTTCATTATTTTGTTCTTAATTATTATTACTATAACAAATAACCAAAAATATTATGTTCTTATGTTTACAGTAATTAATAAATGCACTTAGATATATAAAAAATGCAATGCAATAAAATGTGCAATTGTATTAGGGTATTCAAACTCTATTCAAATATTTATATTGCTAAATTTTATTGTTTTTTTTTCAGATAAGCAATAATTGGATAATGGGGCCCGAATTGTGTGATATGTGGACTTCAATTGACGTTCTATGTTGCACCGCTTCGATTTTGCATTTAGTGGCAATTGCACTTGACAGGTAAAAATTGTATTTGTCGTCCAAAAAATTGTTTTTGTTTTACTTTACAAAGCTTTTAACCTATGTTTTGTTATATTTGATGTTATTTGAAGTATAGTTGTTAATTAATAACATTTCTAAAACTTTTTGGAATATTTGTATGATCTTTATAGTTAAAAAAATAAATAAACATTCTCTGAGTAGGAGAAATATATTTTTCTATGTAAACTAGTAGTATGGAGAGTTAGTAGATATGTTTTTGTAGAGTAAATATCCGTAATTCCATTTAAATAAAAAATTAATAATTTTTTTGGATATCTGGCAAATCTGGCTTATTGTTGACGACTAGTTGGGTTTCAGAGTACGTGGAGGTTAATTTAACCATGTTTGTATCTATTACGGTTAGCGAAATACCAATGCCCGTACCCCGAATTTGTAGCACATTGTGTAATGTTTGTTATAACCATAGTAGAAGGAAAAGGTTTACTTTTACTATGTTATAAGAATACCATCTAGATAAATATTTTCAAATTCTTAGACATGCCCAAAGTTATCATAAAACAATAAATTAAGATTTGGCACTTTGTCGACAAAAACTAAAATGAGAGTAATAGTTGGGTGCCCAGAGACTTTTACCTCGGAATTCAATTACTGTGAATGTGTTAATGTGAAATCTTCTGTATTGTCTTTTATAGATAAAATACTCAAATGTTTACCCATTTTTTTCGTTGCTTTTAATTTTTTATTTTAGTAATTTTAATAAATTCTTAATTATTTTCTTCTTAAATTTTTGATTTTTTTTAATTCTTTTTTTAAGTGAATTTATTGAAATAAATAAATCTAATGCATAAGCTATACCTGTTCTGCTTATGTTCTAATCATTGAAATTTTGATTGAAATCGAATTATACAGGGTGGCGCGTTATATACGACGCGGTTTTTGCAAGGAGAACAAAAGTTTGTATTGAAGTGAAATTTTGTGAGCTTATGGAAGTCAATTTAAAGAATTTTCTAAAATTATGTAGAATTCGACAGGGTGTCCCCAAAAGAGAACACATCAAAGTTATGTTTTTTGTAATGGAATACCCTATATATTAATGGATTTTTGGATTCTAGTTAAAAAAATAAAGGTTTGTTTCATTAGAAAAGTATATGACTGAATGAAAAATAGAACTACATATGTGATAATGTATAGTTTTGGAAATACATTTTCCGGCACGAAAAATGGTCACCTTAAAACTTTGATGTATTTTAAAGGTTAATATATTTTGTTTTAATGGGCCGATTTTGATGATTTTTTAAGCAGTGTATAGCCAAATTACATGACTTTTTAGTATCATTTTCTAAATTAAAAATGAAACTCCTCATTTGTTAATTATACGAGGGAGAACAAAATGTTCAAGAAATTAAAAAAAAATCTATCAACTAGATAAATCCTTTCTCGATGGTTTGTTTTTTTGGTTCATCTCATTAGCTTTATTTTTGTTGGAAATACTCACATAATATACACTAATACTTTTTCGTAATTTTTACATTAAGACCATGCCTTTGCTTTTGGGCCTAGTCAACACATCTAGTAAATTCTGGTCCCGAAGCAGGCCTTCTTGATATAAGATTTGCTTCATTTAATCTTCTTATAGTCCGTTGGTTAATATGTACGTTCCTTAAGTGCAATTCATTATCAATTTGAACGGCTGGCAAACGGCGGGTTCTTAGCAATAAACTTACAATAAGTCGATCGTCTCGATTAGAAGTTCTCATACGAAGGTTCCTGGACGTCTAGATTGACGTCCTCATGGACGTGGTCATAATTCAAAAATCACTTAGTATACTCTCTGGTATTAAGGTATTATTGAAACCGGAATTTTATAGCAAATTTACTGGAAATATATATAGATATAAACAGAAGATGTTATCGTGGAGACTATAATAAAAAGAAGAACGAATTTATTGGGCAAGTCTACAGTAAGATTAGTCATGAGACATGTCTAAAACATGACTACCCGTAGACACTCAGTGTTTCTGCCTTCCGGCTTCGACAATACGGGAGGAATCAGCAACGATGAACTAGCGATCCTGAAAAAAACAAGAAGGGAAGCAAACGAGGCACAAGGCGCCATTTGCAGCCTGGTTAGGGCAGTAGCTTACAATTTGAAGCGTTACCACCGAAAAACCGCTGCGGAGGCGTTCCAACACACCTCGCCGCTATCACCTTGGAACAGAGAAAACAATAAACAGAAGATGTTATCGTGGAGACTATAATAAAAAGAAGAAAGAATTTATGGAACGCCTCCGCAGCGGTTTTTCGGTGGTAACGCTTCAAATTGTAAGCTACTGCCTAACCAGGCTGCAAATGGCGCCTTGTGCGTCGTTTGCTTCCCTTCTTCTTTTTTTCAGGATCGCTAGTTCATCGTTGCTGATTCCTCCCGTATTGACGAAGCCGGAAGGCAGAAACACTGAGTGTCTACAGGTAGTCATGTTTTAGTCATGTCTCATGACTAATCTTACTGTAGACTTGCCCAATAAATTCTTTCTTCTTTATATAGATATATATTTGACTGAATACGGAGCCATCTTGTATGTATGTATTTGTATATGTGTGTTTATTTTGACTATACTAAAGTGAAAGCAAAAAATTTAAATGGGTAAACTTTGTGTAATATATCTTATTAACAATGCAATGCAAAAAGTTTTATAAAAAATCGTTCACAGTAAATGAATTCCGAGGTTTGTATCCTATAAAGGCTTAAAGCACTCCACTATAAGGAACGATAGTTCTAAATACTTTATCACTTACAAACAAATAAAAATTAATTATCAACTAATTTAACAGATGTAGTTCAAATAATAATGAAAAATAAAATAGTAATATAATTAATAATATTAATATCGCTTATTCGTACTGACATTTTGAACAAAAAATTTCAGGTATTGGGCTGTAACGAACGTCGATTATATCCACACCAGGAACGGTAATCGCATAGGGCTAATGATCCTCATCATCTGGATAATAGCTCTAGTGGTTTCTTTAGCACCTCAGATACCTCAGTTTAAAGATCCCGAATATTTGTACAGAATAGAAGTGAAAAGACAATGTTTAGTTAGCCAAGATGTTAAATATCAAATTTTTGCAACTAGTTCTACGTTTTACGTTCCTTTGTTAGTTATATTCGCACTGTATTGGAAAATATTTCAAGCGGCCCGATACAGAATACGTAGAAGGAGGGAATTGAAGAGCCAGAACTTTGAAAAAGTCGAAAGAACTAATAATAACAGTAGGTGAGTTGGTACTACTTATAGATTTAATATGACATTTTACAAAAGAATTTAAAGAATTTTTTTTTTCAGAAAAAAATTATATTTTTTTTCAAAAAAAAAATATTCGATTATTTTTGGTCACTTCCTGTTTCACTGAAAATGACTAGAACTTTTGATTTTTAAATGGTAATCTCGGTATTTTTTTTTTAATTCATTCGATGGAAAATGACACTCTGAATAGAATGACATATCATATATGAACTTTTGACATTTCGATTAGAAAAAATCGTATTTTAAATATCATTTTAGAGTGCGTTAAAATATGTCTAAATCGTATTTTTAGTAATATCTTAATTGTTTCAAATGGAATAAGGGTGGCTAATCAGCATATTTAGAAAAAAACATTTTTTACGAATAATTTGATACTAAACATTTGCTTTTTCGTACAGCGAGTAGCATGTTACAATTTCAAATAAATCGAAAAGGCAACTTGGTTTATAATGTGTCATTCTATTCAAGATGTCCTTTTCTATCGAATAAAGTAAAAAAATGCCAAGGGTGTCATTTAAAAAAATGTAATTATTTCCGGTGAAACAGGAAGTGACCAAAAACAGTTGAATACGTCAATCAATCCTAATCATATACCAACATACCAAATTTCGATTTTAATCTGAAAAAATAAAAAAGTAATAGAGGTGTGCCACTTTTGAGACACACCCGGTATTAAATATTATTTGTAAATCACTTATATTTTTCTCCTCAATAGCAAATAATATTTTAAGTAAATTTAATTCTTGGTTTGAGGTCAGATGTAAATAAATATTTTAAAGATTTAATACATTAATTATTATTATTTATCAGGGTTGAAAAAAATCATGATTTAAAAAAAAAAATAAAAAAATTAGACTTTTTGATTTAAATCAGATTTTTTTAATTTAAATCAGATTTTTTGATTTAAATCAGATTTTTTTTATTTAAATCAGATTTTTTGATTTAAATCAGATTTTTTTGATTTTAATTCAAAACAATATTTAAATCGGATTTCCAAATGACTAGGACTTATTTCCAATTAAAGTCCTATCCTAAATGGCTAAATCTATACCCCGATACCGATAACACTAACAATTCTACGGTGCGTTATGATTTTTCCACATCGTGATTTTTCCACATACTTCATGAATCACCAATATATTCCGCAAAAAAAGTCGTTCGCTTCAGATCAAAAGGATTTTTTTTCAAACATCTCAAAAATATTAATTTTTGTCATTTTAACGCCTAGGCATAAAAGTAAAGCACTGTTTCGCCTAAGCACAAAACTACAAAAATATATTATTAAACTGATATTAAGTGTCAAATTCATCGAGTGTACATATTGTTGCTCAATTACTGTTTATATTATTTGCAATGTTTGAAATTAATTAAAAAATTATTTGAAATGTTTTAAAAAAAAATAGTATATTCTATTCGGAGTAAAAACTTACTTTTTGTGCCTCCCTGTAACGTCGGAATAGCTTTACGATGATCCTTCAAAGGCACAGCATCGTCAAAAAAGTATAATCTGTACTAATAAAACAATAGGTACTTTATTGTTCGGAAATAGTATTAAGTCAAGAATGAAATTATTATGTATTATCTAATGTCAAAGTGTAAAGTACTTAACTGCAGATCAAAATGTCGGTAGGAATTTGGAAACATACAACCGTTTTAAAAAAAATATATATATATAAAACAACATATTTTCTAACAACGGTTATAGATTCTCGGGAATGAAGATATAGTCTTTATATGTATTAGAAGAACCTAGTTCTGCACTAGACTTTGCGAATGATATGAATTCGAACAGCGAATTTTTGTTAAAATTTATGTATAAATTTTAAAATAAATCCCTGCGTTTAGCCATCTAATGAATTCACACGAAATTAGTTCAAAAATCGGTCCAACAATTAAATTGATGAATAGATATTTTTATATAGTTTTATAATTAAATTTTTATTTTTTTTATTACATTTAAAATTTTTGTCTATTTATTATTTTTTAATCTGTTATAGAAATATTTTTTATAGTTTTCTAGGACACATTTTTATAACTTTTACAGTTATTTTTTGATTTATAATAGTTTCAATAAAATTATTTTTTTATAATTTAAATCACATGATTAAAATTAAAAAAATCACTTGATTTAAACCACGATTTAAATCATGATTTAAATCATGCCAACCCTGTTATTTATTGATAAATTTTTTTATTTCATGGCGTTTCGACCATTAACTTGGTCTTTTTCATACTGAATCTTCTACTTGTTCCATCTGTCAGAATTAATAATATTTACATGTAAAAACAGTTAAAAATACAAAAATAAAACAATAATGACTTACCCTCAACGTAGATTTGTTAGTTCTGTTAAAACTTAATTCTAATTTTTAAAAGTCAATAAAACATGCACACACAGGCAACAGATATACAAGTACATCATTGAATTTAACTATTTTTAAGTAGCCCGATCGACGGCTACTCCAGCACTGCTTGATATAGTTTACTAATGTTGTTCGTTTCTTGTTTATCATTTACCGCGTTGATGTTTTTATTTATGGCTAGGGATTCTAACAATTCCCTTTTTTTGTCTTAAACTCAGACTTAATAATTTTTACCCTTTTAAAATTAAAACTATGCCCAGTTGACAATTCATGTTTTGTCAGTGCTGTTGCATTTTTTTATCATATTTATGGCCTTGCATACGTTTTTCTAGATACTGGCTAGTCTGCCCAATATACAGGATTGTTCACCACATCCGACACGGAGAATTGTAGCTAAACGATTAAATTTTTACAAATTGTAAGTTTTGGGTTCGTTGAAGAACTATTATAGCTACAATTTAAAAATATTTTTACAAGATACAGAGTGTCCCAAATAAATAAAAAATATCAAAGTTGTATTTTTTAAATGGAACACCCTGTATATTATTGCATTTTTAGTTTCTACAATTAAAATAAAGGTAAATTTGATTAAGGTTTAATACACTTAAACCTTTGTTTGTTTTTTTTTTTAAATATTTTGAATTTTGTAAAATTGCAGTATAAATTTTAAGGCTTCATTTCTCCGAGGGTATCAAAGTTTTTAATACTAAATATTTAGTGAAGTTTATTTATTGATCAGTTATTGTGTTGCAATAATAAAAATTATACTACCTTATACAGAGTGTCTAAAAATGTATTTTAAATAATTACTAGCTTTAAACGGCAATAACTTGTTTAATTTAAATGGAATACCCTGTATATTTTATGAGAATCAGATGCACAATTTAATTGTCTATCAAATTGCATTATTCCACTTTTTACCTATCCCTTCAAGTTTTCGTAGAAAATGCATTTTCTTATAATTTAGACCTCATTTATGAATATACCCATGGAATATTGACATTTTAGATTGTTTTTAAAACAACAAATGTACAAAATGTACAGGCTAGTAATATTATCGTTTTTAGTAAAATTATATTTTTTTAGTATAATATTTAAATCTTTATAAAAGAGTATACCATTAATTAAATATACCACCAGTATTTCCGCCCAAATACTAATTAATTACATACTTAATTGTGTTCGTTAATAAATTATTCTAAATAAATGTGGATTTGAATCAGAAATCAATATAATAATAAGTTATAAAAATTATCGTCTCTGTTGTTATAAATAAGCATTTGTCAAAAAATTAACTATCATTTTTAAGGTATTAGTTTTTTTTACCACACTGTCTAATACACATAAATAATTCAGTTTTTTAGTATTTGGAGCAATTATTATTAATCAACGCAAACAGTCAATTAATGTAGTTTGAATACTGGAATCATATTAATTGGTCCTCTTTAACAAATATTTACACAGTTTTTTTTATTTTTTAATGAAATAAACGAACTTATTGACAATATTAGTATCTGTTCTCTTTAAAAATTTGGTACATCTTTAAAAATAATCTAAAATGTCAGTATTCCATGGGTATATTGATAAATGAGTTCTAAATTACAAGAAAATGCATTTTCTACGGAAACTTGAAGAGATGGGTAAAAAATGGTATAATACAATTTGGTAGACAATTAAATTGTGCATCTGATTCTCATAAAATATACAGGGTGTTCTATTTAAATTAAACAAGTTATTGCCGTTTAAAGCTAATAATTATTTAAAATAAATATTTAGACACTCTGTATAAGGTAGTAAAATTTTTATTATTGCGACACAATAACTGATCAATAAATAAACTTCAGTAAATATTGAGTATTAAAAACTTTGATACCCTCGCAGAAATGAAGCCTTAAAATTTATACTGCAATTTCACAAAATTGAAAATATTTCAAAAACGGTAAGGTTTAAGTGTAATAAACCTTAATCAAATTTACCTTTATTTTAATCGTAGAAACTAAAAATGTAATAATATACAGGGTGTTCCATTTAAAAAAATACAACTTTGATATTTTTTATTTATTTGGGACACTCTGTAACTTGTAAAAATATTTTTAAATTATAGCTCTAATAGTCCTTCAACAAACTAAAAACTTACAATTTGTAAAAATCTAATTGTTTAGCTACAATATTCCGTGTCGTATGTGGTGAACAACCCTGTATACACCATTGCAATTTTTATAGGGAATTTCATATACGACGTTGCTTTTTTTATTGTTTAGGGTTTTAGGTAACTTTTATGACATACTTCAATGTTATATGTTTTGTATAATTTTTGCAGCGGTTGTGATAGACCAGTAATAAAGGGTAAGGCGATGTAGGTTTTGATTTTATTGTTGGTATTATTTCTAGGGTTAATATTTTGAGACTTTGAGTTGTAAAACCTGTAAATCCTTTTTTTGAAAATTTTATTTACCAATCTCAACGGGTAATTATTTGTTTGAAGTGCTCCCCCTTTGGCTTTTTCTATTGCGTCCTCCCTGTATTCCGGATCTGACAATTGAATTGCCCGGTCTGCAAGTCCTATGATTACCGATTTCCTCTGAGTAAGGGGGTGGTAGGAATTAA